TGGATGACAGCAACAATTTTCTCTGAGTCGGTGCGAGGATTTAATGAGCTAAAACACGTGAAAGAACATCATCCAGAGCCTGGTGCCTGGTAGATGTGTGCGTATGCGTGTGTGCACATGCGCACGTGATGAAGTCTCAGCTTTCTCTAAGGTTCATTCCCTTTTTATCTCTTTATTGGGAATAGGATGGCAGAAACCCGAGAACGTCTGCATTAGAAGAATACTCTCTTACTGTCTATCGCACCCACTGCTTTAAGAAGAAGGAAATGAATATATATATATATACTCCTTTCTTTTCTGAACACTTCTTGGATGGCGGAAACTGTGCTGAGCACTTTCCATGGATTGTTCTTTTAATTCACCACACCCCTATGAGGTAGGTTCCTGCTTTGTAGAGGATATTTCTTCTTTTGCATTTTTAGATGAGGGGCCCATAGAAATTGGTGACTTGCTCTAAGTCATACACAACTAGTAAGTGGTAGAACCTGGGTATGAACTAGGGTTCGTCCGACCGCATGATCCTCCTGTAGGGAAGTTTGCCCGGATTCTCCTGCTGCCGGGTCAGGGTCAGAGTTGGCTCCCGGGCTCTGTGCTTCCACAAGCCTCCCCTCCCCCGTGCCCCTTGCAAGCCCTGCACTTGTTGCACGCTACTGGAAGTTCTCATCTGTATCTCTGACTTACTCTACTGTGAAGCCCTTGAGGGCAGGGACGCTCTTCTGTTCACCAGCGACTCTCCGGAATTCTTTGTAAATGCACCTTGAATAGACACATGGACCCAGGCAAATGATAAGCTGCTGTTGCATATTTCCAACCTGGAAGAGTCTGTGGTTGTGTTCGGGCTTCTGCCCTGGAGCTGCGTGTGATTCTGATTCATAGTTCGTACTTCTAGCCCCAAATGCACATGAGCTATAAAGATCCCTCACCGAATGCCTGCTCATTACTTGCCTGCACTTTACTGCTCTCTGCCAGTCCCTGTCACATTCCAAAGATCCTTTTTATTAGGGAAAAGTTTCCTTGAACCAAGCCGAACCCATTTTCCTTTTTATCAGCCTTGTCTCCTATCTTTCCCTCTTGTAATTTTTATTTGTCCCCTGGAACTCATTTAAACAATTAGTCTCCATGCTGGTTGTTAGCCATTTATGTTTGGTATGCTGGCCTGATCCGGGTTTGCTCTGAAAAACATTCCATATTGATTTTAAAATGTAGGGCTGGTGTTTGCCACATTTATCAACTCTGTCAGGTACAAAAATGCTTTCTTCCTGCAAGGGCAGATTAATAACTAGCAAGCTTTCTAACAGGTGTAAAATGGGCCCTAACTTACTGACAATGCATTGTCTTTTGGCTTTTGTTTTGACTTATTTTTTTACTCTCAATAAATTAATTATTTGTAATTAAATCTTCACATCCAACCATTGAATGATGGACATATGCATTCTTTGGCATTTTCTTTGCACAGAAACTGGTGCCCTCAGCTCAGGATCTGTAAACGCTACTTTAATGCTGATTTTTTTTTTTTTTTTCTCTTGGGGGGAGGGCAGTAGAAGGGAAACAACTTAATTTCCATGAACTGTCGCAGGAGGAAGCATGCTGGAAATTTGATATTTTAAATTTTATTTATAACCCCCCAACTTCGATTTCATGACTTTGGGTAAAATAAACTCAGAAGGATGGCTCTCCATAGGAGAGGGGGTATATCCTAAATTGGGACACTAGGTTATGTTTGGCAATTAACTTCTTTTCCTCCATTCTCTTGAGAGGACTTGAAATCCCTGAGACTCCCTGAAGAAACTGGCCAACAGGTTTTGCATTATTCAGTAGGGTGGTTACTGATGGCCTGTTGGCCTGAAGGTCATCTAGAATGCCAGGTAATACATCTTCAAAGCTTCCTCTTGCATCTTTCTTATGATGCATAAAAGCAGTCTTTTTGACACTTTATTTCCAGGCTCTTTTTCCCACCCCTCTTTTCTCCATCAAACTAGTCAAAGGTGAATTCTATGTCTTAGCCTTTTGGCTTTGAACACCGATGGAGGCCTTCAACTTTGGGTTGTCAGATGGAAGCGCAAAGCACTCTATGAGCCAACAGGGAGAAGCCATCAATTTACTCTGGGTGTATTGTACACAGTGTGTGTGTTGCAAGCTCCATCCACCGTGCTGGGATGGAGGCGATGGCCGCTGGAGCTGAGTGAGGAGCAGGCTGCAGAGGCGGTGCTTAGGCTAAGAGAAGCAGTTCTGTGGTTAGCCGCAATCGGAACATGGGGCCTGAGCATGCAGCCCTGTCGGGGCAGTGGTAACAGGCACAGGCTGTCTCCTCTCAGTAGTCTGAGATGTAAACCCTACAGTCTTAAAAAATCAGGCTGCTTACTCTGAGGTCCTTCGCCTCCACCAGTGCTGACCCCTGAGCTGACTGTCCCCCTGCTCATATCCCTGGACAATCTGGCAGGGAGCCTGCCAAAGGCCTTGCGCTCAGTGTTGGGGCTTCAGTGGGGACAGGCCTGCCATCACACAACTGCGGCTATAGCTCTGAGCGGGAGGTGGGAATGATCTCTTTATACTGTAAGTGTGAGCTGAGCCAACGCAACTTCACCATTTCTAACACTAGACCCCTGGTTCTCAACCTTTTTCCACTTCAGAATCATGGTGGGGGAGGGGAGAACACAGATCCCAGTGTGCCACCTTCATAGATTCTGATTTAGCAGGTTTGTGGAGGCAGGGTGTGTGTGTGTCCAGGAATCTATGTTCTTAACAAGCTGCTGCCCAGGTGGTCCCTGGACCATACTCTGAAAGAATAAGGCCCAGAATGTTGGGAAAAGTTCTTGATGACCATCTGAACAAAACCACTATTTTACAGAGGCGGTAACTGAGGTCCAGAGAGGAAGGCTTGTCTGAGGTCACACAATGATGTAATGCCAGAGCTAGAACTAGAAGCAAGGTCTCAATATCACCCCCTTCATGCTTTGTCCTGAGGAGGAGGAGACAAAGTAAAGCTATGACTCTGTATTCTTCTGTATTTTTCTAAGTGGACACAGCCTGGTGTAGGCCTGCAGTGATTCCCAAAGGGATATGTTGGCATTTTGTAATGTGTGAGTGTCTAATACACCACAGGCCCCTGAGTATTAATGCCAGTAGCTCCCCTACTCTGAGTCATTCTGACAACCCCAAACATCTGCACACATTGCCAGATTCCCTTGGTGGGAACGGGGAGACAGTGCTGCCTCCAAATGAGAATCACTGGTGGGGAAAGGAGCTATAGTTGATTATTCATCAAAGGAATTCTGATTTTGAGTTTTAATTTTGCCACGAATTTCCTCTGACCCAAGGGATATCCCTGGCCCAACTGCTGAGGCTCTGTCCCCCTGTTTCTTCAACTACATGATGTCGGCAGAAGCGGGGAGCCAGAAAGATCTCTTGGGACCCTCACAGCTGACTTTGTGAATCTGAGGTGCTGGTGGAGTACACAGACAGGGTGCGAACACTCATGTTCTGTCTCTTATATGGCTGTAGTCAGCACAGGCCACGAATACTACTATCAGGAAATGGATCCATTTCCAAAGGAGACCAATGACTCTTTGCCTTTAAGAGAACATGACTTGGTTGTGTTCATCCTGTCAGCTCTGGTTTGATAGTGACGGAGAGCCTCAGTGTCCAGAGGTGATGTGGACCCCCATCACAATTCAAGTGGATTGAATTCAAGGTGATTAGTTCCTATAATCCCTAGCCAAACTGCAGAGCTGTTAGCTACTTCAGCTTCTTTATGGAATTGGAAAGGCTGTGCTTGCTGTTTTGAGAAGCAGCCCTAGTTCCCTAGTGCATTATGGGGGCACTCTGTTTTATTTAGGGGGAGAGGAAAGAGCACTCAGGGATAGTGTGCGTATGTGGTGGGGGGAGCTCCATAGCCCTCCCCTGACTTTCAGTATGGGAACCTCTATCCCAGTCTGCAGCCACCTTTTGCATTAGCAGAGGCTTCCAAGCCAGCACTCTTGGGTGAAACTATGGCCGACTGGTGTTCTTTCAAAAGAACATAGAGCTTTTTACCTCTCAGAACTGCAATTTGGCTCCTTCGGGAAAAAAGCATCAGATTAATTTCTAGGATAGGAACTTGATTAATGAAAATAATAAGCTGGTTTAATTATCTTTTCATCTACCAGTTACTGCCTTCTCAAAGAGCTCTGTAGCAAAGCTGTTGACCAGAGTAGCTATTTACTCTCAGCTTGCTTCATAGTAGTTCATACTAGTTATGTCATAGTGGCTTTATTTTTCATTCATTTTCCCAGAACAGTAGTGTTGAAAGGGACAGACATTAAGTCCGATTTTCTTATTTTATAGCTGGGGAAACTGAAAGATCTATTGAAGGGAGGGATCGTGCTTAGGGTCATATAGCTAGTTAACAGTAGAGATAAAACTAGAACAGAGGTCTTCTGACTCCCAGTCCAGTGCTCTTTCCATACTTGACTCCCTCATGAAAGTTGCCTTTGTACAAAATTCCCAATTTAAATTCTGTTACTAAAACTTCTAGACCAAAACATGCCAGCAAAACTCCCCTGCCCCACCTATATGCAAATACATGCCAAACATTGTGCTATGGACAAACAACTTCAACTAACAAAATCCCAAACTTATGTCCCTAAGGAAACCACCAAGAAGAAATGCCAGACAGAAGCACTTTTCTCTGGTAATGTGCTCATTTTTCATCTTGCTACCTGCTCTAATGTTTGGGCATGTGGCTCCATTCTGGCTGAACCTAATTGCCATAATGGTGCTAAAAAGGAACCTTTAAGAGAGTGACAATCTCAACATTTCAAGGAGTCGCAGATGAGGTAGGGCTTTGTAGATGAAAGGCAAACCCTCTACCCACGTCTGTGAGCAGAGCTACTGAACTGACATTAGGTGAAATCTCCCCAAGTAGATTTTCTTTTATCCCTTTAGAAACCTCAGGACATTACTCAAGCATTGGAATTCCTGAAGACAGAGACAGACACTACTTACTGCACACATACCTGGCTTCATTCTCTGTGTGTCAGACTGTAGACCATTCTCAGGTTCGAGTTCCTCTTCAAAAAGACCCAAATTCTTTCTCAGGATATGACACAGACATCTTGGGACAGAAACAAAGCTAGAAACAGAAAGGTCAGCACCACAGTCAGCTCCTTTGGCCAGCTCTGTGCCTTACCAGGCTCCCAGTCCTGATTGAGCAGTCTCTGTACTTGGCTCAAACTCCTGGGTCCCCTCTTAGTGAATGATATCACCATCCCCTTAGTTGCCCAAGTCAGAGGGCTGAAGGTCATTCTTGATTCTGCCCTCCGCCCTTACCTCCAGCCCATCACAAAATGTGGTGTAGTCTCTCTCCTTAATATCTCTGATTCTTCCACTTCCCTCTTTCTCTGAGCCAGCATCTGGTCTACAACAACCTCTGGTACCAGGTCATGAACTCAAATGGGGGAAACAGCAGTCAGTGAAGCAGACTAGAACATTGTCCTCAATGAGTTCAGGCATGTATTCTAATTGGCCATTTATTCATTTGCTTCCTTCAATGGGCCATGAGCTTGCAGAGAGCATGGACCAAGTCTAACACGCCACTGTATCTCTAGACTCTGGCAAGGTCCTTGGTGCATATTGGGCACTAAGCAAGTAAATGTCCACGGGTGAATATTCAACTTTTACAACTGCATAGTAGCCATAGCATGGCTCTGCCCAAGCTTTCTTCCTTCCCATTCCTGACCTGTTTCTCCTAGTTATTCCAGCCCTTTGGGACAATTTTGTGCTCTCCTACCCATTTTCTTCATGTCCTATGCTCTGAGCTGGAGTTCCCGGCTGTGTCTCTTTCTCTGGAGAGTCTTCTCCAGCTGCTCTCCTCTCTCCAGACAAATTGCTAGCAGTCTTGTCCCTGGTGGCCCAGCCTACAGGTAGAGCCAGTTGGGCTCAAGGCCTCTGTGAGGTTGCAGGGCTGACTAGACAAGGTCTGAACAGACAAGGTCTAAAAGCTTGGCAACTCTTGCCCAAACTGGAAAGTCCAGCCTCCAATAATCTTTACATCAAAAAATATCTTCCACTTGCACAAACTATATGTTCCCTACCACCACGAAGACTGTTTCTAGGGCAGGCAAATATTAACTTAAGACTTGGGCAAAATTTGTACTATAGAAAAGAATTGCCTAAAATAGTAACTGAACAATGATCATATCACAGCGCTTCTACTTCTCTGATTCAAGGGAGGGAGGAGAGAGATGATATCTACTTCGCGGCTCCAAGAGCCTAGTGCATAGGCGCATCTCAATAAATGTTTCTTGAACAAAGCATGAGAACCACAGTAGGCCCTATGGGTTTATGCATTGTGGTGACTGAATTCTTCATTCATAGAAAGTGGGTGGGGAAAAGTCTTAGAGTACAACAAATTAAATCTCTTCATTTTACAAGTGAGAAGACACAGGTCAAAAATGACTGAGTAACTTAGCTAAAATCACACAGCAAGTTAGTGGCAGAGCCTGGACTCAAATCAGGCTTCCTGGTCTCACTGTTCTTTCACCAAATCTCCCATCTCAGGCTTAAACCCAAACAAGAGTTCTCTATAAAGGTTTTTGAAAGTCAGGCCTCTTGGTCCATGCTCAGATTGTGTATGTTTTGATGCATTTTAAAAAAAGATTTATTTATTTATTTGAGAGAGACAGAGAGACAGTGTGCTCATGGTGGGGAGGGGCAGAGGGAGAGAATCCCAAGCAGACTCCCCGTTGAGCACAGAGCCCAACGCGGGGCTGGATCTCAGGACCTATGAGATCATGACCTGAGCCGAAAACAAGAGTCAGTCGCTTAACAGACCGAGCCACCCAGGCGCCCCCGTTTTGATGTATTTTTAAAAAGCACTGACATTAAACTTGTCAGAGAGCTGCGCCCCTTCATTCCCATTCACATTCCCCTATAGAGCTAATTTTTTTCTTTTCACAATAAAATTAACTTTTAAAGGGCTCTGTATTTTTAACACATAGAAATGAAGCCTATCAAAGCCAGATGCACTAGATAACTACAGATAAATAAATCACTTGTTCTAGTGTCAGAGAATTCTGTTTGGTGCTGATTTAATAGATTTGGGGGAAAATAAGCAAGGAAATTCAATAATAAGCACCTGCTCTTTGCAATAAACTTGCCAGGAAACAATCAAAAGTGAAAGGAATTCATTTAGAGATAAGTGACATGATAACTGCCTGTCTGCTGGGAAGACTTGAAGCTGCCCCAGCTTCAGATGCAGCCCTTTGTCCTCTCCCATCCTGGTCTCTACGTCACAAGGGTTCAGTGTTCTATTTTGGGTGTAACATTTCCATCTATGCAGAAGAGCATCTCTCTCACCATCCTGGCTTCCTTGGAGAACTAGATCTGTGATGATGGGGCTTTTTACAAAATGCTTTCACATCTCTTATTTTGGTCTTTTTAGTTTATTCCCCTGACAATCCTGCAGAGTAGGTAGGGAAGGAGTTGTCACGCCGAAGAGAGGAAATGATTGCGAGGGGTCACTGGATTTGTCAGGGGCAGGGACAGGGACAGAAAGCCGGAGCTTCAGACACACAATCTAGTCCTCCTCTATGAATGCCATTTCACCACTGAAGGAGACACTCTGCGAGGCAATTTGTTTCCTTGTTCTTTTTCACAAAATTTATGAGCTGATATATTCTAGGGGAAGCAATTAAAGGGTCACAGGTCAGCATCACTTTAGTTCAGTGTTGGCAGTATGGAGCCCTAAATGGAATAATAAGATAGATTTATTCATTTCTCTCTCTGGTTCATGATAGTGATGCCAAAAATGTGGGCCCTAAGATGACATTTCCCAGGAAAGATCTGGACACCAAAATTTTGGAAACAAGAACATGTTTCCATAGGTAGCAAAATTCTAGTCATTTTATGCTACATATCAGGGGTTGGCAAACTATGCCCTACAGGCCAAATCTGGCCACTAGCTATTTTTCTAAATAAAGTTTTATTGGCACCCAGCCACAGCCACTCATTTCTGGATGTTTTAGGACCACTTTCACACAACAACAGCATGACTGAGTTGTTGTAGCAGAGATGGCTGTCAAAGCCTAAATTATTCACCCTCTGGCCCTTTACAAAAAAAATGCTTGAAATCAAACACTAACCCCACTCATGAGGAGAGGTTCTTTTTGTCAGGATCAGGAAGTTCTGTCCAGGACAGAAGTTGCTGGGGGCTTGGAAGAGACTCCACATTGCTGAAAATCCCTGAGCGGGTTTGTGGGAATGGGTATTGGGCCTGGGATGGGCACAAACATTTTTTCTTGTCATTCTTTATGAAATCAGTCTTGAGCCATCATTTTTACTGTGAAAAGATCTCTTCTAGTGACTTCCAACTATGTAACAATTCCTGGCAGGATTCTCTTTGTTACCAGTAATATATCAACCCAGTGCCAGAGAGTTAAAGGACAATGAAATCAATAGCCTGCACCAGACACTGCAGAGATTAGGGATGTATCTTCCCCTTCAGTGCTCTGTTTTTAACTTGTTCTTTCAAGCATGGCCACCAACAGATGATGTGTGAGGGATCTAGCTTCCAGGGATCTTCTGAAGTTCATGCACGTACAAAGATCTGGGCTAATTCAGGGCAACGTTGGCCTCGAAGAGGCCACAGTCTGTGAAGTCTCTGCAGACTTTTTGGTCAGGGTCCCTAAGTGGCAATTCCCATGAACTAGGATCCATGTTATGGGCCTGGCCATCAGAGTTAACAAGGAGAATCAGGAAGCTCACTTTCCTCTTCTAGGAAGTCACTGCTTCCTTTCCAAATGCCTTCACAGGGTCTTGCCAAAAGGAAACTACATCTACATCTTCAGAATGCTACATTGGGTTGTGGCTGAAAGCAGGAGAGCCTAGGATGAAGTATCAGACAGGATGCCCACCAGGAGCTGTAAGGTTTTTGTTCTACCTCAGCCCTCTCATTGCCTACTCCTACTGTATTCGTTTGCTAGGGCTGCCATGACAAAACACCACAAACTGGGTGGCTTAACCCATGGAAATTCATTCACGTATGGGCAAGGTTGGTACCTTCTGAGGCCTATGAGGGAGAACTCTATTCCATGCCTCTCTCCTAGTTTGTGGCAGTTTGCTGGCAATCACTCCAGTCTGCCTTCATTCATCCCATGTCATTCTCCCTAGGTGTGTGTCTATGTCCAAATGTCCCCCTTTTGTAAGGATACCAGTCATATTGGATTTAGGTTCCACCTTACTGCAGTTTGACCTCATCATAGTAATTATATCTGCAGAGACTCTATTTACACATAAGGTCACATTCTGAAGTATTGGGGTTAGGACTTCAACATATGAATGGGGGGCACAATTCATCCCCAGACACCTACCCACCAACTCTCATCCACCCTTCCTCCACTCCCACCTCTTCAGGGTTCTACTTCTCTGCCTCCAATTCTGGGCATGCCCCAATACCACTCACTAGAGCTTGTCAGAAGACTATAGCCAGAGAGCATGAGGTATATCGTCATCCCTCATTGGAACTCAGTTACTTCTTAGATATGTGAACCTGAACAAGTTACATAATGTCTTAAGGCCTCAGTTGCCGCATTGGGAGGCTGGGAAGAATAACATTCTTGACTTCATGGGATGGTTGGTGTGGGCCCCATTACATAGCCTGACCCATAATAGCAAGGCTCAATAAACAGTAACTATTATAATTATCTGCAGCAGCTTTGGCACTGGGGACAGCCTTGGCCTCAGAAAAAAAGGAGAAAGCTGAAGAGAGCAGGTCTAGCAAGGGTTCGTTCCTTTGTCCAAAAGAATATGCATCGAGCTAGGTACCCTTGTAGGGCCTGGGGATTAAGCAGTGTAGACAACAAAGTTCCCACTGTCAAGGAGCTGACAATCCAGTGGGAGAGATAGACAAGATACAAAACAAGGAAATCCATATGATCAAATCAGATTGTGATAAAGGCTATGAAGAAAAAGAACATGGGGCGAGGGGATAAATAGTGAAAGTGGCTGGCTAGGAAACAGTCCTGAGAGGGAATAGGAGATTGCTGAGAAGCACAGGGAACTGACTAGGTGACATTTGTCCTCATCAATTGGCTTAGATGTGAATATTGATTCCAATTCATCTCTTCTCTGTTTGCTGAACTCTTACGTCTCTTCAAATCAGTACCACACCACTGAGTGCTCAATTATATCTTCCCCAGCATTCCTGATGATTATTTCTCCCATGCCAGTCCCTTCTACTGGGCTGTTGGCTCCTTGGAGGCAGGGTTCCTATCTCACACTTCTTTTTTAGTGGTCTCACTTTAGTGCAGTGCTGAAACAGGTAGTAATTTCTCCATAATACTTGTGCATTAAATGATTTACAGAGCAAAATAAAGTTCTTCTATTTTTATAGGAGATAGTGACTAGAGCAGAACTCCTAAATTTATTAGGCCTATCTTGAGAGCAAAAAGTAATCTCTGCCTACTGAGATAACCAACTGATTGAATAGCATCATCTGGATACTGTTTCAGGGGACCCAGGATTCCCCCATGGTACAGTTGATAAGACCAAATGGCCTGAGAGACAGTATAGCAAAGTGGCCAAGGGATTGGCTTTGGGATTAAACTGACCTGGGATCAAATCCCAGCTTTGCATCTTCAGAGATGTGTGACCTTGAGCAAGTAACCTTCTTTGTCCAAATCTCACATCATCTTCATCCATAAAATTAAAACTAAAAGTAGCGCCCACCTAATAGGATTTTGTGACAATCAAATCAACTAATATAAAGCATGTGGTGTGGTGCCCAGCATATGGTAAGGACAGATAAATGTTAGCATGAGTTATTCAGAGTGCTTAACAGGCAACTGATTGAGTGATTTAATCATAGGCCCTTGGAAATACATAGGCTGGATATAAGGAGGTAGTTCAGCCAACTGGGCAAGGTAGCACACCTCTTGGGCTTTTTGGAAAGATGCTGTCACAGTTTGGATAGCAGGTTGTAGTTGTGGCTGAGACTGTGGCAGTAACTGGGGTGTGGATTGGGGACTGAACGTCCTCAACTTGATTTCCTCTGTGACAGGTTTTGCCAACACGGACAATCCCTAACCATGCTGAAAGAGGAATGAACCTGCTGAAAGCCTCACTGTAAGTAGGTGGTCTCCGCGCATTTCAACTATTTAGCCCGAGCTTGTTTCTGATTAAGTTGGGGTAAAGAGGAGAGGCACAATAAATTATTTTCTAGATTCCCATAGGGCTTATCAAAATATATAAGGTAAGGCGTAAGTACACCTGTTAATGTTTCTTACAAGCAGAGGAAGGGCAGCCCGTGTGTGAATTAGCGTATGGTTATTGGACCACAGTTTTATTTCTCTCTGCCCTCTGCTTCTTACAGCAAGGAGAGGGGACCAAATCTCACAATACATGACTAAAGGGTCTGAAGCAAAAGACCATTCCCAGATACTGCTTCTCTTTGTGTGGTCCCTCAAAAGGCACTGCAGCCTTCTGCCATGCTGGCCTCTGGACCACATCCTGCATCCAGATGGCTGGCAATCTAAGGGGCCTCTCCAGGAAACCATGGCAGATAGTCAACAGCATTTGTTTAAAGATAACTTGCTAACTTTATTTTAATCTTACTTTTCCCACTGGGAAACCTATTTTAGTAATTTTATACACATTTTTGAAACAATCTCAAACTTACACAAAAGATTCAAATACGATCAATAAAGTCCACAGAGCTTTTTTCTCCCCTGAATCATTTGAGAGCAAGTTGCCATCCTGATGCCCCACTGCATTGCTATACTTCAGTATTTCCTATAAATAAGGGCATTCTCCTATATAACTGCAATGTGATCAGGGAATTAATGTTGATACATAACTATAATCTAATCCTTAGATCCCACACCAGCTTCACCAGTCATGTTGTCCCAATCATGTCCTTTATAGTAAAAGGATCCAGTTCAGAACCATGTGCTATATTTCGTTCATATGTCTTTCTAGTCTCCTTCCTATACAGTCCTTCAGCCTTTCTTTGACTTTCTAGATCTTGACACTTGAATATTTCCAGCTAGCTACTTTATAGAATGCCATTCCGTTTGAGTTTGTCTGATGTTTCTTCATTATTCGATTCAGGTTGTGCACTTATGGTAGCAATACCAAACAAATGATGCTGTGTTCTTCTCATTGCGTCCCATCAGGGAGTTCCAGAAGAAACAAATTTTAGGGTTAGCCGTCACAGTGAGCTCCTGAATCAGTTTCATCACAAGTTGTGATAAACACCCAGTTGCACTTGACACTGGGCTCAGAATGCACAAAGTGATCTTGACAGGTACTTGTGGTGCCTCCACACTAAAAACCTACTCAAGGGTGGTCTTTGCCTACCTTTATAGCTTTACCTCCTATGGCACCTACGGCCTTACAGGTATATACCATACCAACTTGCCTTTCCTCCACATGGCCAGGAACACTTCCCCATCTCTGTGCCTTTGCCCATATGGTCCCCTTTACCCCTCATCTCCACTCCATTCCTGCCCATGTCTCATGTCAAAAGCTGATTTGTCCTTCAGAGGCCACTTCAAATGCCACACTCCACATGAAGTTTTTCTCAACCACCTCCCATCCCTAATTAGGAATTTCACCTTTCCTCTAGCATATTTTGCTTAAAATTTTTTAATAATCGGGGCGCCTGGGTGGCTAGTCATTAGGCATCTGCCTTCGGCTCAGGTCATGATCCCAGGGTCCTGGCATCGAACCCCACATTGGGCTCCCTGCTCCGCGGGAAGCCTGCTTCTGCCTCTCCCTCTGCTGCTCCCCCTGCTTGTGCACTCTCTCTCTCTCTCTCTGTCAAATGAATAAATAAAATCTTTAAAAAAATTTTTAATAATCATATTATCCCTAATATGATTAGATAATGGACTGCAAGTGTTTTGTAGGCAGTAGATTTGTGTTATCCATCTGTTTTATCCTTAATCCTGCCCCACCCTCTACCCACACACTGACCATTTAATGTAATGTGTGTGTAGTAATAATAGCTAACATTTTTGACTGCTAACTATGTACAGGCACTGTTTTAAGTTGTCTGCATGGATTATATCATTTAATGCTTATAACAGCTCCATAAATTAGGGGGCTATCATAGTTCCCATTTTATAAAAAGTAACTCAACAGTAATAGATAATAAATAAATATCCATTAATGACAAGACTCATTTCATGAACTCAAAAAATATTTAACAAAAAATTATTATACCATGATATCTTCAGGGCCCTCTAGTCCCTGATCTTGAAGGCACTGTTTCTAATTAGAGGATAAGATTCACTATTGGGCAGGAAAACTATAACTAAGCCATTGAAAAATGAAAGTCAGAGGCCAAGGAATTTCATTTGGAAATTGAGAAAAAAAGCAGATGATGAGTAGAAACCAAAGCACCAAGAGATAGGCAAGGTTGCAACAAATGGAGGTAAGTGCCTCAGATCCACAGACAAATCCCAAGCACAAGAGACTAGCTCAGCAAAGAGCCCTATGTCAACATGGAGAACAGGACTGGTCCTTCGGGCCCAGTGGCTCCTTAGAGTTGCCTCATGAGTAGCACCTCCGAGGACCACTTGGAACATAGAAGCCGCAATAATCTCATACCCAGAGTTTACTCTCTATACCTCTGATCAGTGGTCTCTGTGTCCAGCCCTGGATGAGTTGGCTTTCTCAGTATACAAAGAACAGACAGCCTGGATAAGAGATGCCTAAAATGTGGGAATTCTAGAAGAGGTATCCTCTGGCAAGTCACCTTACCTGTGTGAGCCCCAATTTTCTCTTCTATAAAATGGGATTAATATCCACACCGCCTATCTTATGGTGAGTATAGAGCACATGTAATTGTTAACTTAGGTTAGACCATTACCAGTATTTGTTCATTTCTCACATACACAAGCAGTAATTTCCTGTGGTTCAAACAAGATGCAGACTGTGAGGTCTTCTTTATCAATGTACTCTTGGCATCAAGTACAGTGTCTGGCACAGGGAAAGCATCCAAAAAACATTTTAATAGATTTATCGAGGTATGATTGATGTACAATAAACTGTCCATAGTTCAACTCTACAATCTGTTAAGTTTTGATATGTATATACCTGCAAACTATCATCACAACCAAGATATAATGAACCTATCTACCACTTCCAAAAATACTCCTCAAGAAATACTGGTTGGAGAAATAAGAAACCATGTCCTACTGCTGTAGAGACTACAAAACACCAATGCCAAGGGATTATTGCTAAAGCCCAATGAGGAGACTTATTCCTCACCCCTATACTCAGGGTGCAGGGCCCTGCGAAGGAGAGCAGGCAAAGGAAACCTGGACCATGAGGGGTTTGGGGGTCACAAAGGCAATGATGCTCCTGATGGCAGAATCCACTGCCTATCTGAGGGAATTAATACACTGATAGAGCTCCAGGTCACATTCCCAGCTTTGGTACCAACTGACTTAGAATGTTGGGTAGTTTTGTTTGCCCAATTCTTTTTTTTTTAAAAGCCTCATTGATCAGGAAAACATTTTAGAGCTGATGTATAGGCACAGCTCTCATTCTTTTATGCAATTTTCTTTTTACATTGTCTTTAGCAATAAACTTGGACAGAGATGGATGGTAAAGAGTGCTAAAATAAAACCGAACTGTAACTTCGAGTGATTTCACAGCCAAGATGGGGTGCTTTACTCATATTTATGACAGTATGCAGTACTGGAAACTTCCACAGGGCAGTAGGGGCTGCCTAATTAGCTGGGGAATTGGAGATTGTCCAGGCCTCATCTAAGTGGGGCAAACCTAAGAGCTCACCTCTACCTCAAGTGAGTTAGAGAACTGAGGACAGTCCCAATTTCACCCTGAACTTTGGCTTTGCTTTGCCTAGGACAACTGAGTCTAAAGGCATAAGCTTACCCAGCCACTCACATTTGCATTTCACCCTGGCCCTGTCCAGATCAACTCGGCTTTCCATGTGGAAGTCAAAATACTGTGAGTCATGAGAAGTTCAGGAATGTCTGTTTCTACAGTAAGAGCAAAAGAACAACATGGACTATTTCAAATTCATGTGAGAAATTGAGGCTCCCTAGTGAGAGGGCCCAGCAGATGCCTACCTTTTAGTATTTTCTTTCAGTGACTGGATATTTTATGGCATATTGGAGACAGATAGGATCGTTGAGATTACTACACTCAATTGTCTTTCAACTGTCTTTCAATAGCAGAATCTAGAATACAAAGAAAAATTTACATGGAAATTCAATATATACAACTATATATATATATATGTATACTCAGTTGCATTATATATATATATATATGAACAGTCAGTTGCATTATACACACACACACACACACACACAAAGTAGATTAGATTGAAATTGGGGGTGAAGGTATCTACCCTCTCACTACCTTGAGAGTTCCAGAGGCACCTTCATGGACTCTTAGGATTGTGATGAGCAATATTTGAATTTTCTAGTTTCTCTGAGTCTTAGCTTCTTCCTTTGTAAAATGGAAGAATGTTAGTGTCAGGGCGCCTGGGTGGTCAGTCAGTTAAGCATCTGCCCTTGGCTCCGGTCATAATCCCAGAGTTCTGAGATTGAGCCCCATGTCGGGCTTCCTGCTCAGCGGGGAGTTGGCTTCTCCCTCTCCCTCTGTCCTCCCCCCTCCCCTGACCTTGGCTTGTGCTCTCTCTTGCTCTCTCTCAAATAAATAAATAAAAATAAAATCCTTAAAAAAAAAGAATGCTAGTGTCTACCTCCTAGGGTAGTTGTGAAGACCAAATGAGATAATATATTAAAGCATTTACATAGTGTCTAACATATGGAAAACTTTCTTTTTTTAAAAAAAGGTTTTATTTATTTATTTGAGAGAGAATGAGAGAGAGAGAGCATGAGAGGGGGGAGGGTCAGAGGGAGAAGCAGACTCCCTGCTGAGCAGGGAGCCCGATGCGGGACTCCATCCCGGGACTCCAGGATCATGACCTAAGCTGAAGGTAGTCACTTAACCAACTGAGCCACCCAGGCGCCCCTAACGTATGGAAAACTTTCACTAAAAAGGAATGTCCTTCTCTTCTCATGCCCCTGGGCCTGTCACTTTGTAAACAGGAGAACCACGTCCTAGAGAGTGAAGTGATTGCCCTCAGTCAGAGAGCAAGTTAGTACTGTTCCTAAAGCACCTTCTGCAACTTCCTCCCACTCCAGTGTGCTTTTCAATAAACCACAGTTGTTCCCTGCCCTCTGCTGAAACTGTGATTGAAAAAATAATGTGCTTGGTCCCCAATGCCTCTGAGATGCTCTCTGGTCAAATCCTGAGAACAGAATAAAGAAAGTTGCCCTCTAAGCATCACATAAATAAGTAAAGAAGGAGCCCGGCTGTTTTTCAAGCACACAGTTCTGTTAGCTGTAAGTCATCCTAAATCCATAGACTACTAAATTCATAGAATCTAAATGATAGTGACAGTCTCCCAGAAAGCCAACACACCTAGACAGTAAGCAACTTAACAGAGGTGCTGCTTATAAAGTCACAAAAAGCATTCTGTACCACCTCTGCATAGTATCAAAACCATTAATCAAGGCATTAATGTTGAGTGACCTGCAAAATGGCAGAGCCTTGCATATGTGATCTGACTGCATTGGTCTTTGAACATGACTTTGAATGCCTTTCTAAACTGAATAGTCCTTACCCATTAGCATTTGGTGAATTCAGGCAAACAAGACTCAGAGGAACCCCAAAAGCACTCTATTTCAGTATGTTTTATCACAGTAGAAGTGTATTTAAAGTAGCCCAAGGGGTGCCTCGATGGTGCAGTTGGTTAAGTGTCTGACTCTTGGTTTTGGCTCAGGTCATGACCTCTGGGTCATGGGATCAAGCCCTGTGTCAGGCTCCGTGCTAGTTTGTGGAGCCTGATTGGGATCATCTCCCTCTCCCTCTGCCCCTCCCATTTTTTATTTATTTGATAGAGAGAAAGAGAGAGAGCACAAGTAGGCAGAGCGGCAGGCAGAGGGAGAGGGAGAAGCAGGCTCCCTGCTGAGCAGAGAGCCCCATGCGGGACTTGATCCCAAGACTCCAGGATCATGACCTGAGCCGAAGGCAGATGCTTAACCAACTGAGCCACCCAGGTGCCCCTAAATAAATAAATCTTAAAAAAAATAAGAAGCTCTTCTACAGTCCCTCCATAATTTCAGCCATTTTTTCAAAAAAGAGTAATTAATATGTCATCATTATTCAACATGTGGAGTGTTCATTCCCACCCTCCCCTAAATGAAATGCTATTTAAAATCAAGTAAGATTCTAATTTCCATACTCTGGCTGAGATTTGTAGTGTGGAGCTAGGCAGCTTGAAGGGAGCTTTGGCATTCCTCTCAGCCAGGCCTCCCTGCTACTACACGATAAAGCCATCTTGTCCATAAATGGAGACACTTTGCATATTGGTTAGAAACTCCTCAGGCATGCCAGTAAATTGCGCCAGCCCTGCCAATAAGCACAGATAATCTATGCCGTCACTTTCCCGTGAGCCCAGGGCCAAATGTTTTCCATGTCTGTATAAAATGTATGTGTCTCTGATGGATGATGACATTCCTTTTTCATTTACAAACACAGAAACCCATGAAATCCAGTGGAATTGCAGATAGAATTCAGATGACAGATCTAATTCTATATGCAAAGAATTGTTTTGGGGGGCAGGATTCACACATTGGAAGGTATTGGTTATATTGCTGGAATAATGGATCCCAGATTTCTGTGGCCTGTGATTTACCATGCTGAGTTAAAATAAGAGGTGAAAGAGAGCACCTGGCTGGCTCAGTTGGTAGGGCATGTAACTCTTGATCTCAGAGTCATGAGTTCAAGCCTCACAATTGGGCATGGAGCCTACTAAAAAAAGAAGGAAGGAAGGAAGGAAAAAAGAGAGTAAGAGATGGAAGTCATTGTGACTTTCTTGATACCAGTTGTCATGTAGGTTGTCATAGCAAACTTCCGATTCTCACCTCTAATTAGACAATTATCAATTGACAAGGAAATAACTTCTTGGAATTATGAAGGCTCAGAATCAGGTGTGACTTTTCATAATTGAAAAATGGGTAAAAATGAATTGCTAAAATGAAACATCATTTGGAAATTTCATAAAACATATGGAGCTATTTTACATGGGAAACCCTAGCTTCTCAAAAATAAAGTAACAGGCTAACTAGAACATCAAGTGTCTTTGCTTTAGGCTGGAGTTTTATGAGCTTAGTATGCTTTAACTGGTCACCTCACATTCATCAGAAGCTCTTATTGACAGATCCCTATGTAGTTAATCACTTAAATATGAGAAAATAAATTACTACTTACTAAAAATCAGTTTGTATAGTGGGTTTAGTATTTCAAATCATGGAGTCCATGGTATTATTGAGGGTGAGAATAGGGATTTTTTTTAAAGTCTTTGGTTGTGAGAAGGTTGTAACTCACTGAACTTATCAAAAGCCCTTGTTTTAAAAACAATCAAACTGAGGCATGAAACATTACTGTCCCTTATTGGTCATCCTGGATCATTTATAATTGCAAGGGTAATAGCTTATGTATTAATACTGCCTGTCTCAGCACCTCCCCTAATACATTCCTTTTCTCTGTCCATCAGCCCTTGATTTAATCACTCACTCTACTGAGGAAAGAAGTTTCAAATTTGAGTCATTGTTCTTAAATTCCCCAGTCCAATTTATTCACTTTTCTTTGGCTGTTATCTACACAGTTGAGTGGGTCTACCATTTTAACTGAATTGATTAGTCAATTCAGTTAAAATATCACAGGGTATTTCATCCATCCCAATGGAGTCACACTAGATGCAGTGAAGTATAAATAGATCAGAAACCCCCTCTGTACTGGTAAAAATCTCAGCAACTCCTAGGCTGAAAGTAGTAGGTCAGGAATATGGTATTTTATCACTAACCTAGAAGAAAAGAGGAACACCCAGCTCCTTAGAGATCTTCCTCTGTTTCTAGCTAGCACCATCTCTACTTTCTCCTTCTGGCTTAGGCCATGTTTCCCAAGAAACAGACTTTGAGATGAAAACTAGTGTACAGGTGTTTTCTTGGGCAGTGCTGTCCAAACAGCACTGTAAAGGAGTGGAGGAAGCAGGATTTAGTGGAGGGAGGTTCTACTGAGATGCAGTTGCAACAGAGGTCTCAGCTCATCTAGAGTTCTAGAGCTGGGATGGGCCTTTTGAGTTGTTCTCAATAAACATAATGGGTCCTGGCTTTCTATACCCATGTTGCCAGGTTCTGGATGTGGACTGTCCCTGGGGAGTAAGAGTAGCCTTGGGTGAAGAAATTCCCTTTGGATGACAGTGATTCTCAGAGAGAAACTCAGCTTGAAGCTTTCAGCAGCTAACACTCTAGTTAGGATAATGAGCACCTCTTTCCTGATGTGGGAATCTGAGAATACATCAGACATGTATTACACCTTGTTGCCCTTAACCTTCCTTGGGTACCCCTCCTGCCCCGCATGGACAATGTCCCCTCTGCATCATTCCCCTAGAAAGAGGAACCTAGAAAGTAGAGCTAGACTTCCTTTCCCCACAAATCCTCCTTATAGCTGGTACAGCATTTTTGAGGCTGGCCAGCTAGGGTTAATGTGAAGTTTATAGCTGATGGACAGAGAAAAACGAATAGTCCCAGTGTGTGTGTTTGAAGTTCCTTTCATTATTTAAGGAGCTTTCTTTTGCTATTCAGTTATATAAAGATTAGAAGACAAAGTGGAGTCAACAAAAGAAATGAATCATTTGAATAGCATGATTGCCATTCTGCAGTGATCTGAAAAATCCAATATCACCATTTAAATCAGATTCACTTTTGTCTAGAGAAAGAGACTTGACCTTTTCCAGCGGACCTAAGTAGAAGGTCAGACAGACTAAGAAAATGCTTCAACCTTCTTCAAGTTTCTTTTTATTCTTTTAGCCTTCCTTTGTTCCCATCTATTCTGCATTTTTAACTTTTTTCTGCACTGAAAATCTGTTTATCAGACGGTGTCTACATGAAGCCAAAGTAAGTATCTGAAAACAAAAATTCTATTAGTTTAGTTAGTTGAAAGAGTATATATTCCCTTCACCCTTGCAAGTACTGGCTGGATTTAAATAGGCATGTGTGTAGGGGCACAGCCATTAAAGTTATGGGGAAATTTTGACATACCACACTTTAGAAGTGTCTTTACATAAGGTATGGCTTCTCAAGCTACAGATTATAGCTTACCA